TGTAACCCAGGATTTAGGACAAATAAATGACTTTTGAACTAAGCTCTACTAAACTGGAAGGTACTTCTATCGAACAGTTCAAAGGGTGAATTATAACGTATACAGAAGGCAGAGACTTAGAAAAGAGATCAACATGCTGGGCCCACAAGGAAATTTACTCTGAGTTTTTAAGCATGCGTTAGGTGACTTAGAATTCATAGGAGCCATTTCTTAACCCTTCAGGTATTAGCAGTCAGCCCGAGATAATATGCAAGTATATGCGAACCCTGCGGGAAAAGAAGGCTTTCTTTGAATACAAGTTGTGATCAGAGTCTGGGTTAATATGAGGACTATTTCGATTTGCTGAGGAATTATCCACCGGCTTTTATACCATCAAGCTGAAGTATCAAGCTTTCCTCTCCTTGGATTTGGGGAGCTGAATCTGGCGTGGCAATTTTCCAGGGGATCTTGTTGGTATTAAGCAGTTTTCTTAGGTTAAGGAACCTCTTAGAAACGGAGCCCTGTTTTATCCTTTGCTTCTGCAGTTTTTGTTTTGCTTGGTCAGAGGCTGCTCATTTTTATCTGGAAATAAGATTGACAAAATGTGTGTAGTTTCTACCTGGCACAGAGAGAAGTACAAGGACCATTTGTCTCCTGGAGTTTCCTGTAACAAAGGTATCCAGAGAATTGTTTTCTGGGTGAATTAGAGGTAAAAGCCACTCTTGTTTCTTCTCTTATCAAGTGACGAGAAGCGTAGGAACTCAGGTTTCTATTTGAGCCCCACACTGTACTCTCAGCGGATTCAGCGAAGAAATCCAGCAGGAGGTCACAGGTGAACACTTTCCATTGAGGGTTTTTTTTTTAAAGGACTTTCAAGTTAAATGAACTGTTTCAGAAGGAACTTCTTTCTTTTCTTCTTTTTTATACGGAAAACGTTTCTGAAAATTAAATAAAAAACAATTATATGTAGTTATCATTATTTGTTAGTTTCATTCTGTTACCATAATACTACACCGATCTATTAGAAACAGATCTAGATTGATATGCTGGGTCTTATTTGCATGTAGTGTTTTTGTTGTAGAATAGATTTTTTTTTTCTCTTTTGGAGCCTTTCTTTCCTCCTTTTTGGCTGTTGCTGTGTTGAAGTGATTTAAGAGAGCTTCCCTCCTATTTTCTTTTACCACATAGGAGTGGTATTTGATCCTTGTAATTCACTTTCCAATGTCTAAGAAATACTTTTTTAAATTAGAAACATTAGAAAATATAAGTGTATCTTTGAAGTTTTAATAACTTATTTTAAAATAATATTTTAGATGGATTTATGAAGTTTTAAAAATAAGATTTTAAAAATAATCATGATGAATTCATGTGAAAATTACTTGGAGACGTTTTTCAAATAGTAACTCAAAAAAGTATCTGAGTTCATTCTGGGTGATAGTTTCTAATGTCATTGTTTTGAAATGTTCCAACAAAGAACCTCCTAGTTAAGGAATTATTTGTTTTATTTAAATGTTTCAAAAAATATTTTAAATTACTAGGATTTCTTAGTTGGTTAAAACCTGCTTGGTTTTTGAATGGGGCTAAAGAAGAGTAAAGAGAAAGTGCGTTTTAAGCCATCTAGACTGGTATTTTGTTTTGTTTATTCTAGACACCTCATGTAAATGGAGTCAAACAGTATCTATTCTTTTGTGTTTGTCTTATTTCATATAGCATAATATCTTTAAGATTCATCCATATTGTAGTATTAATATATGTTAGAATTTAATTCCTTTTAAGGATAAATTTTCCATTGTATGACTGGATTTTGTTTGCCCATTCACTTGTTGATGGATATTAGGATATTCCCACGTTTTGGCTACTGTGAATAATGCTACCATGAACATTGGTGTACGAACATATGGTCTAGTCCTGTGGTCGGCAAACTGCAGCTCTCGAGCCACATGTGGCTCTTTGACCCCTTGAATGTGGCTCTTCTACAAAATACCATGGCCTGGGCGAGTCTATTTTGAAGAATTGGCGTTAGAAGAAGTTTAAATTTAAAAAATTAGGCTCTCAAAAGAAATTTTAGTCGTTGTACTGTTGATATTTGGCTCTGTTGACTAATGAGTTTGCTGACCGCTGTTCTAGTCTATGCTTTCACTTCTTTTGGTTATGTACTCAGGGGAATTGCTGGAATCCTATACAATAAAAGGTTAATATGCAAATTGTCCCCATGGGTGGGAGTTCAACCTACCAGAGTTAGACGTGTGCTGACCACCAGGGGGCGGTGCAGAACATGGTGGGCATCTGTGATGTGGCACTGGCAGCAGATGGCAGTGGAGGCACTGCAGGCTCAATGGGCCCCCATGAGAATGGGACCACAGCGGGATGGTGGAGCAGGTGAGCGGGCAGCACCAGGCCAATTGGGTGTGAGCAGGGGCCCCAGTTGCCCCACTGTCACCCCACAGTTTGGCCCTGATTGCCGGCCAGGCCTTGGGACCCGACTGTGTGTGAATTTTGTGCACCGGTTGTTTAATATTTTTAGGATTTTCCTTACTGACTTTGATTTTATACAAACTTTGTGTCTGAGGAGGTAGAAAGTCTAGCAGTTAGGAATGAAGTGTGACTGAAAGCAGCTGTTGCTGGATATTTCACTTCAAGGAACTTGACAGACATGATGGCTAAAAAGGGGAGCATGAATTAGTTTAGAGCCGTGGTTGGCAAACTGCGACTCTAGAGCCACATGCGGCTCTTTGACCCCTTGAGTATGGTTCTTCCACAAAATATCATGACCTGGGCGAGTCCATTTTGAGGAAGTGGCATTAGAAGAAGTTTAAGTTTAAAAAATTTGGCTCTCAAAAGAAATTTCAATCGTTGTACTGTTGATATTTGGCTCTGTTGACTAATGAGTTTGCCGACCACTGGTTTAGAGAAAGGGAAAGAAAAGAATCAAGCCAAGGACTGCATCTTAGGATGGAGAAGGAGCTACAGGAGCTAGTCAATGAGACAGGAAAAGAGCAGTCAGAGCTAGGAAAGGAACTGAGTGTTGATACACACGTAGCTCAAACTCATCCATATTCATTGAGCACTCTTGCAGGAACTTCCTTTCAAAAGAATAAGCTTCTATTTAAGTATGACATTACTTTCAAGGGTTTGGGTGTTAGAGGTTACAGATCACTATTGAGTGTTGAATTTCTGAGACACGGATACTTTCAAAAAGGTCCCAGAAAAAGCAGATTCCTTACTTGGCTGTTCTCTATTTCCTGTTTTGCACCAGTAATTTCACAGTTTCTTTTATACCATTTTATTGCAGTATGACATGCCTTAAGAAATGTGAACAAACCATATGTGGACAACTCAAGGAATTCTCAGATATTGCATATACCTGAGTATGCACACCCAGATTGACAGCATATTTCCCATGCTCAGTGTTTCCCACCAGACCCCCACATACTCACCCACTATCTGCATTACCTTGATTTCTGACACCATAGGTTTATTTTACCTGTGTCGAACTTTATGTAAGTGGAATCATGTACCGTGTTTCCCCGAAAATAAAACATCCTCCGAAAATAAGACCTACTTACAGATTTCCTTCTGAGTGAAATATAAGGCATCCCCCCGAAAACAAGGCCCCCCCCCCCCCCAGGCTCTGTCTCAGAATGAAAATTAATTTACCTTAAACTGGTTGCTAGGGCCACCCCGACTGGCGTCTAGCAACCAGTGACTTTCCCCGGAGTCCTGATGTCACTGCTGTGTGGAGGTGGAGCGGAGGTCAGAGTGAGCAGTGAGCGCGGGGCGGGAGAGAGGAAATTCAGGAATTGGATTGTTATGATGATGTTCCAGAAGATGATGACATGATTGTCATTGAATAAATGAGTAAGTTCTTGATACTGTAGGATTCACAGTTTGTCTGGTTTGTGTTGACAACTACTGTACTACCGTACCGTATTCAGGTAATAAATTTCCTTTATTTTAATTTAACAATAAATGTGAACCGTATTCTTCTTCATGGAAAAATAAGACATCCCCTGAAAATAAGACCTAGCACATCTTTGGGAGCAAAAATTAATATAAGACACTGTCTTATTTTCGGGGGAAACAGGGTAGTATATATTCTTTGTGTGTGACTTCTTTTATTTAATATTATGCTTGTAAAATTTATCCATATAGCTGCTTATTGCTGTAGTATATATTCCACTGGATGCTTTAGATAACTTATTTGTTAATGCTCATGTTGAGAAGCATTTGGGCTGTTTCCATTTTGTGGCTATTATGAATAGTGCTGCTAAGAATGTCACAGTTTCCTATTAAATAGGTATTTTGCACCTTATGTTCACTGCTTTAAAGTTGTCATCGCTTATTTCATTTAAGTGACTTTTCTTCTAAGTGCCTTCCCATTCTAGCTAATTATCTTCATTGTTAATACAATATGTATTTCCCTGAACATTAGTTTGAAAGTATAAAGTGCCACAATAAATTAGGTTCCTTAAAAATGTTTTGTACTTGCATTAATATTTTCCTTTTAAAAGCATTTATTTTAATTTTTCTTAACTATCCAGATTTTGTATCTGAAATGCATATTGAATCTGTCAAAATTTTTCTTCTTTTCATGGGCTGAATTATTCATCCTGGAGGAAAATATTTTAATTTTGGCAGCATGATGAGTTGGAGAAAAAGAATAACTCCCATATTTTTAATGCTGAATTGTTATCAAACTTATATTATAATTTAAATAGCAATAAAAGAAGGTTCACAATTAGCAAAAAGTACATTGTGATATTTTATGTCATTTTTTCTCTTCAGGTTCCAGTCTGCTTTGGTATAAAAATCAGTTATTACTAATTCAAAATTGAAGAAATTTTTATCAATCCACCTATTTCAGAATTGAGTTGAAATTTTCTATCTTAAGTAAAAATACATACATAATATATTTTATATATTTGCATCAATCTATATATCCATATGTATATTTGTCTCCCTAGTTATATTTTTATTTATCCATCCATCTATCCATTGACATACTAAAACATTCTTTACAGAAAGAATAATAGAAGATCATGAGCTGGTGGTTGAAGTGCTATCTAACTGGGGAATGGAAGAAGAAAATAAGCTATACTTTAGAAAAAATTATGCCAAATATGAGTTTTTTAAAAATCCAATGGTAAGTGATATCCCCATTAATAGTTGTGGAAAATAAATAAATTAGTTGTATTTTATTTTAGTTTATGTGAATAAAAGTGTTACCATAAATAAAATGTAATTCCCTAATTGGTAACTTGTAGGTAAGAATTGTGGTCCTTTATAATTTCCGTCATATTTCTTCTTACTCTAACATTGATTAGTCAACATCATCACAGAAATTTATATACATGTTTTTAAGAACTCTTGCTTCTTCTTGCTTTTAAAGAAAAAAAATTCTATACATTTCATTTAGAGAATAAACTATTAGATATTATCAAGGAGGTTCCAAAATAATATAATTTAATACTTTTCAGAGAATTTGGGAAATTTAAAATATATAATTTCTAAAGTAAAAATGAACTGATGATTGTTGGAAGTGTTGTAAATTAAACCAGAAATTTTAAGATGGACATGAATCTGGCCCTGGCAGGATAGGGTAGTTCAATTGCTTAGAGTATCATCCCAATATGCCAAGGCTCAGTCCCTGGTCAGGGCACATCCAAGAATCAACTAATGAATGCATAAATAAATGTAACAACAAATCTCTCTCTCTCTCTCTCTCTCTCTCTCTCTCTCTCTCTCTCTCTCTCTCTCCCTCCCTCCCTCACTCCCTCCCTCCCTCTCTCCCTCTCTCCCTCCCCTTCTCCCTCCCTCCCTTTGTCTTATCCCTAAAATCAATTTTAAAAGATTGACATGAATCTTGCTATTGCAAATTATTTTGTTTTCAGTGCAGTAATCACTGAGCAAAGTATTGTAGAAATTAAATAAAGATCAGTGCATTATTTAGGAACAATTGTTTTCATTGTAGTACTCTTTAAATGATAATAGATGAATGTCACATTCTAATGAAGACTAGGGATCTGGAGAAGTCAGAATAGCCTCTGGGATTATTATTTAAATTGTGTATGTTTTTTCTGCAGCTGTAGTACTTTAACACTAGGTTTTGGAAAATTGGATTGAAATAATTCTTTATGGGGAATATGTGATACTAAACATAGATAGAATATTTTCAAACCCTGAAAGACTTCTTTTTTATTTGAACCTATTAATAAAAACATTATGATATTTAATAAAGAAAATAAGAGTTCTAATAAAAATTAAATAGAATTGGAATTTGAAGGGAAACTTATTTTCTTATTATGAATCTATAAAAAGCAATAAGTTAAAAAATATGGTTTAGTGTTTATTCTGAGTTTTATCTATTTTTTAATAATGTAAACAGGCTATACATTCATTTTGTAGACCTATATAAGTGGTTCCCAGCAGAGGTGGTAATTTGACAACATCTGGTGATGTTTATGGTTGTCACAAAGAGAGTGGGGAGGGCTTACAGTGAGCAGAGGCCAGGAATGCTGCTAAACATCCCACATTGCACAGGACAGGTCCCTCCCCCCCCATCACGTAGTATTATTAGACCAAATGTTAATAGAACTACTGTTGAAAAACCCACTCTAGAGGAAGTAATCTGTATATATAAAAGGCTAATATGCAAAGTGTCCCCTCGAGAGTTCAACCGGGAGACCGGAAGTTCAATCACTTGCTATGATGTGCACTGACCACCAGGGGGTGGCATTGAATGAAAGAAGGCTCTGGTCAGGTAAGGAGGGCCTGGCTGGCAGCCAGGTAAGGAGGGCCTGGCCGGCAGACAGAAGGAAGGCCCCAGCTGGCAATCAGAAAGCCCTGATCAACTGGTCAGGCCTAAGGACCCTACCCATGCATGAATTTTGTGCAGTGGGCCTCTAGTGTAGAATATTTTGCCAAACTTATCTGATCATAAAATTATCTGAGGAGTTGGGGAGTGCTTATTAAAAACACAACATCCAGGACTATCTAGAACTATGGAATCAGGCTCTTCAGGAGTGAGTGAGGCCTGGGAATTCCTATGTCAAACAACTACTCTACGTGAATTTTATGATTAAACAAGTTTGGAAAAACAGTGAGTGGAAAGAACTGGATTTTTGCTCTCTAGCTCTTCTACATGGTGGGCTGTGACTTTGACTATATCTTTTACTTCTATGAGCTTTGACTTTCTAAAATGGAGACGCTAGTCCTTTAGCACCAGCTAGAGTGGTTGCAGGACTCAGGGAAGAGATGCAGGAGCAGGCACTGTCCTGAGGGAAGTGTTTTGTGTAAAGTGAGGTACGGTATGCACATCTCTTTATGGTCATCATCTGACAGTGTTTGCTACTCTGGATCCTACTCTGACCATTTCATTAAGCTACCTGAAGGCAGGGTCCAGGGACTGGCATTTTTAAAAGCACCTCATGTTTTCAACACACGGATGTAAAGAACTTTTGCCTTAGATTACAATGGTCATAATTGGATCTGTTTTAGCACAGGTTTGGGGATAATGTAACCTGTATCTTTTTGTTAGTATTTTTTCCCAGAGCATATGGTGTCTTTTTCAACGGAAACCAATGGTGAAATATCCCCCGCACTGATTTTGCAGGTAAAATACATTTTCATTAAAATATTTAAGTAATAATAAAGGGTAACTTTTAGGTCCATATTTATAACTGTCCAGAATTTGAAATGTTATGCCTTGAATGATTACTTTTTGCTGGAGGTAAAACTGAAAAGAAAAGATCAAAATCTGGATAAAGAATTTCTTAAAGACATATGTACTACTATTTGTAATATTTTAAACAATAAGATAAAATTTAAAAAAAGAAGTTTTTAAATCCATAAAGGCTCCTTATTATTCTTCCCAGTTTGGGCCAATTATCAAAGAATTTCAAGCATTTAACAAGTATGCATCATGAAAGGAAACTTGCAGTTTTGCTCTGTGATGTGTTTAAAGATTATGTTAGTCTTTTGAAAAATTAAAATTTCTAGTAAAATGTAGTAATTTTACTAATAGGTATTTAGTACTAAGGTTTATAATAAATGTCCTCAATGCTATTTGTAATAAAATACTTAGCTATTAAATAGAAGAGAAAAAATTATCTAGAATATATCTACTTCATACACTAACATTTGTAATACCTATGATGGAAATACTTGAAATCTTAGCTGAATTAAGAGTATTGGTTATTTAATTAAAAATCTCCTAGGTTTTGCACTTGATTTCTTTTACACTGACTGTAACTTTAGGTGATAATTTCCCAAGTCATTTTCATTATAGTAAAATAATGGTTTTAGTTATTTTATTTTATTGTTGATAGATTAGTAGAATTTACTCTAGCAGCTCTGGAGTTATTACCAGGTTGAGGTTGAGCAATTTCTTTATAATGGGTCATGTTTAATCTAAGCCCTGAGCATCTCCAAGCCCACTCAATATTTTCTGATCTTAAATGAAGAAAACTTTTAATATTTTCAATATGGATACTACTTTAAACATATTGATAATGACATATATTGGATATGGCAGATTCATTTTCTGTGAGCTTCTTATGAGGTTATATTTCATTTTGCACTTCAAAATATTTTAAAAATATGATTAGTCTCAAGAAATCTTTCTTAAAGCTACTTACATGCTACAGGGTTTTCACAGATGCCCCATCAGAATATGAGGGGGAATGGTAGCAGCAATGCCCAGCACCTCAACTCTCAGCCAGTGGGATAGACAAGGTGGTGGGTTGGAGTTTTTCTTCCACCTCCTTTCCAAAATTCTCCTATAATGTAGGTCTATTACTTTAATGTTAAATTATAAAAACAAGAAAAACCAAAGCCGTGGAATCAGATGGTTTTTGCATTTGGCGCTGACCTCTTCTGTCCACTGAGGCGATGTTCCCAGTTTTTAAAATGTTTTTTCCTTTTCTACTGTGACCTCTGTGATCCCCTTTTAAAATTTTAATTGGTTTGCTTTAATAACTTGGAAAGCACTCAAACTAAAAATTGTACTTGCCTGTTTTGCATGTCAATTAATTAATATCTGCAACTCATTAAATTTAAAAAAATTAGTAATTTACTTAAAAAAATATAAATATCTACTAGTAGCCTTTCCTTGAGTAGCCTTTTAAAATGTTCCATTGTTTTAGCTAACAATTTCTCTTAACTTTCAAGTTTTAGCTTTTTTGCATTTATTTTTTAATAGGCATTTTTATTTTCTTCTAATAAGATGCTAATGCATTTCCATTGTTTTATTAATGATACTTACTTAGCACAGCCACTTAGAGCTCTTCCTTTTCATACTCTTTTTTTCCTGACCAACACATGTGCCAGTTAATTACTACTGTGTAACAAACTATTCCACACCTTAGTGGCCTAAGTACCCACTCACATTTTGCCAACAATTTTGTGGGTCAGACATTTGAAAGGATATAGCTAGGTGAGTTATTTCTTTCTTAAAAAAAAATATATATATATATATATATACATATACATATACATATATATATATATATATATATATATATATATATAATTGATTTTTCAAAAAGAGGAAGGGAGAGGGATAGAGCTAGAAACATCCATGAGAGAAAAACATCGACCAGCTGCCTCTTGCACACAACCAAAGTACATGCCCTTGACCGGAATCAAACCTGGGACCCTTCAGTCCGCAGACCGACGCTCTATCCACTGAGCCAAACCGGTTTCGGCTAGGTGGGTTATTTCTGACACATTGACTCACGGAGGGGCTGAAGATTCCCGTATAGGTTGGCTTTTCACTACATGTGCCTGGTCCTCCTTGGCCTCTCTGTCTCTCTCTCCCCACATGGTGTTTCATCCTCTAGTATTTCTCAGGGTGGTCACATTTCTTATGTGACAGCCAGCTCCAAGAGTTAAGTAGTGGAAGCCGTCAGGCTAGTTAAGGACTATCGTTACTAGTAGGATGGGCTGACTGTCACTTTTGCCAATTCTATTGGTCAAAGCAGTCACCAACAAGCATTGCTGAAATTCATAGGGGATGAAGAAACAGACTCCACCTCTTTGTGGTTCAGTGGCTAAATCACCTCACAGAACACGTGGAGTGGAAGATATGGTTGTAGTTCTCTTTGGAAAACGTAACCTGGCATACCTACTCACAACTGAGAATCCTAGAGACACAGAGATACAGTTTGCTTTACCCTCATCAAGGAGGTGAACTTGGCTTAACTTTCTCAATAATTGAGTAACTGAAGTCAGGATTGTGGTCCTACACCATCATAAGTTGAAATTGATATTTTCTCAGGAAAAATCATAGAAAAGAGTGAAAAGTGTCAGGACTTAATTCCATAGATGAAGTGTAATTTTTCATATGGACATTCAAATAGCATCTAATTTTAATGTTTGGCTAAGTATTGATAGCTTAGAATCTAAACATATTTTGTAAACCTATTTTCACTTGGAGCTTAAAAGATTGATTTAATTCCTATTGTGTATGTATTGTCATTTCTGTAATGGTATATAGGTGGTATATAGGTGATATGGTTAGATTTTACAAGTTCATATTTGAAATCTGAACATGATTAATATAAAGGTACAATGTCATTGATTTAAAAGCAGTGTGGAAGTGTCTAATTTCTTTTTTCAGATGTTTCTGAGTTCAAGCACATACCCTGAAATCCATGGCTTCTTACATGTAAAAGAACAGGGAAAGAAGTCTTGGAAAAAGGTTTACTTCCTTCTAAGAAGATCTGGTTTATATTTTTCTACTAAAGGGACATCAAAGGTACTTGGAAATATAAATGATTATATAAATCATAGATGTTGCAAGTTAAAATGAGTTTTACTTTGTTTTCTTTATTACTTTATTACTTGATCTCAAGAGTTGGTAATGTTTTTGGATTCCAAACATTTGTTATAATCTGTTTGAAAACTAACTATGCAGCTTTATTTCCCCCTAGATATATCCTTTGATGGAATCTGGATGATCTTATTTCAGTACCACATCTTCTGCTTATCTTTCCCATTATGAATTCACTTTTTTTCCTCCTTACCCTGTGGTGCAGATTTTATCCCCAATATAGTTCACAACCTTTTCTTTATTTCTTAAAATAATAATAATAATTATATATATATATATATATATATATATATATATATATTTGATTTTTTACAGAGAGGAAGAGAGAGGGAGAGAGAGTTAGAAACATTGATGAGAGAGAAACATCAATCAGCTGTCTCCACCTCCTACTGGAGATGTGCCTGCAGCCATGGTACATGCCCTTGACCGGAATCGAACCGGGAACCCTTCAGTCTGCAGGCTGATGCTCTATCCACTGAGCCAAACTGGTTTCGGCCACAGCCTTTTCTTTTTATGCCAGGACATACTGCTAATCTTGCCCATTTTTGAACTTTGATTGCTATTGATGCCATTAGTAACACTCAGCTGAGTCCGTAATTGCTCTTTAATGCCTTTGTGTCTGTTAGTTTTCTCTCCTGGAGGAAATTATGTTATGATCAGGGATAGATATATTTGTTTGTGTGCTTGAGTATTGAATAATATCTATGTCTACAGTTGCATAGACACACATGTCCATACCCACATACGTAATCACTCACACATGCAATTCACACAATGCTTGGCACTGTGCAGTCTGTGTTTCTATGCAGTGTATTCGATGTGGACTATGCCATATGGTGTGTGTTTTGTAAGTGTTGACATTTCATGCCATGCAGTGATATCTTTCAAGAAAAACTGCTTTGGGGAGTTTTCATAAGTTATTTTAATTGTATTTTGTCAGGGATGGCATAATTGGTTCTTTATGGGTAATCAGACCTTTTCCTCTCGCTGTTTTACAATATTATTATAACCATTAATGTTCAGTAATTTGTCTGCCATATTTCTAAGGTGCATTCAAATATATTCTAATAAAACTTGCCTGATTCTCAACATATGCACTCAGTCTTTAAATTCCTGTTTTTCCTTTATGCTGGGAATGCTCATCCATTATGTATTTCCCATTATCATTATTTGATCCTTTATGTTTTTAGGAGCGTTAGCTGTCTTGACTAGTCATGGACCCAGGTGCCCCTTTGCTGTGACTGCCTAACTTAAGTCTCTTCCTCTGTCTTCCTGGGACCTTCTTCCCTTTCCCTGTGTGTCTCATAAGAACACTTGTCATTGGATTTACGTCCCAACCAATAATATAAAATAGTTACAGTTTCTTGAGGGTTAAGACATGGACATATTTTTTTGGGGTGCTAGTATTCAACTCAGTATAGAAAACCAGTGAAAATATTTTAGCAAGAGAGTAAAATGATTAAGTTGTAAGATTAGTATGACCATAGTGAGTTTAAAAGAATCAAGGAGAGAAAGAGTGAGGAGGAGGAGGGATGGAGAGAGGAGAAAGATGAGAGAGAGAGAAAAAGAGAGAGAGAGAGAGAGAGAGGAGATTGGAAGAAGAAAAAGGAGGAGGAGGAGGAGGAGGAGGAGGAGAAGCAGCAGCAGCAGCAGCAGCAGCAGAAGCAGCAGCAGCAGCAGCACAGATCTTAATTGGATGATAATTTTGGTAGTTTAGGGTGGAGGTGATGGGATCTAACCTGGATTCATAAATTCATAATTTTATCCTCGCAGTGGTCTTCCCCCTGCCGTGGCAAAATCCTAAGCATCAAATCCCTATTCATAGGTTAGACCGTAGCTTTTTAAACATAGTGTTTGACTTTGCTGTGCATCAGTACATAATGTTCTCTTTAGTCTATGGCCAGTGAGCTCATGTTCCATATCCTATACATGAAAAATGATTTTGAGTTTCACTCAAAAAATAAATTTGAGGTATTAGATAGCCTCAAGAATTATGACTGATACAAATTATGGAGATTATCCAATGTATAATACTGACATTTCTACCTGGCAAGGAGACCATATCCTGTCCTTTTTCTGTGAAAAGGGTTTCACTTTATTTTTACTTTCTAAAGACGTAGGCTGTGTAGGAATTAGATAACCACTGCTGTAAGCCTTGGAATACGACTGTGACTTATTTTTATAGGGAAGCACCAAATTACTCTCCTCTCCAAACCCTCTGATGTATACATGCACATGCTTAACTTTTGCTAGCCATGCCAACTCAGTCTTGTAGTCTTATAATGTCCTAAGCCTTGATATGCTTATAGTAATGGAAAAAATCAATCAACAGAGAAAAGTCATTGTGACTGTGTGGACTGCCAGTGTCTCTCAAGTTGTCTTTTCTCACATTTGAATGACTTGGTGACATTGACTTGTACAGTATATCAGTGGACAGGGATGGTCTTAATTCACCTTCATAGAAATCAGACCCTTTTTACTAACAAATCATCCTCTCTAGGAATTAAGCTTTAAAGGCCATGCCAATCAGAGTATCTTTTTCATTTCTCTTCCCTTGTTTCATGGGCCCTGTGCTGGGTCTATTTTAGCAATTTTCTTTTCTGTGTTATTTTCCCATGGAGTTGGAACTATAGTCACTCATTAGATATAAATGCCTCAGAATAGTAACACGCAGAGAAACAGTTACGTGCATAGCAATTCTCACTGTGCCAATCATCGGGGACAGCATAGCCTGCTGGTAAATGACTGAAATTTCTGTGGATTAGGATTTGAATGGGTTGCTAAAATTGCTGCATGTTCTGTTCTTTCTTTCTTTCTTTCTTTCTTTCTTTCTTTCTTTCTTTCTTTTTCTTTTTTTCTTTTTTTTTTTTTTTAGAGTATTGCTTCTCAAATCTCGGTGCATAAGAATTGCCTGGGAGCTTGGTAAAATGCAGGTTTTGATTCAGTGGGTCCTGGGTGGACCCTGAGATTTTGCCATTCTAATAAAATCCCAGGTAATGCTGATGTGGTCCAGGACCACACTACCAGCAGCAGGGTTTTAAAGAACAAATGTATTTCAGTCAGTTTTGATTATATATTCAACCCCAGAATTAAACACTTCTCTAAGTTATTAACCTATCGCAGAATAATATGACCCTGTGATTTCCCATGACCAGTTCTAAATCCCATGGATTTTCCAGAGAAGAGATAGCTGTTCATGATTTCACTTTGCCTTGAAAATCAGACACTTCCTACTGCCAGGTAATTTCCCTGAGCTCGTCGATACAGGCTTCCTTCTGTTAGTGAAGGGAGATAGTCATGCCTCCTATCTCATTGCTTGCTGTGGTGTGTTAGGCAATCAGTACACAGGCGTGAGAAATGCTTATTTCTGAACGAAGCAGGAATCATTGTCTGTTGCTCCTTTTTCTTCTCTAACTGCTGCAGAAGCTTAAACCAACCTTATTCCCTTTAGTGAACTACAGTGATTGAAACTCAGAAAGAAAAAGGTTCAAAAGCCATTTTTTTATTTTATTTTTTGCTTCTATCCCTTGGAATCCTTTAAATGGTAGTCAAAGAAAATATTTTGAATAGTTTTTTTGTTTTTTGTTTTTGTATATTGGAAGTTAAATAATAGAAAAGTTGCCACTGCTCAAATTAAATGATATTGTGTCCAACCCCTGGTTATTTAAAGATAGAGTGCTTTATTATTTTTTTCCCCCCTTCTGTTTCTGTGACATTATTTGGGATAATTCTTGCCAAGGTATAAACTTTCTATATGTATAAAAGGCTAATATGCAAATGTCCCCTCCGTAGTTCAACCAGGAGAACAAGGGGAGTTCGATCACTCGCTATGATGTGCGCTGACCACCAGGGGTGGATCAGAACATGGCGGGTGGGTGACCAGCGATGGTGGCGGGGCACTGAGGGAATGAAGGAAGGAGGAGGCAAGGAGGCAGGGAACCTGATTGGCCCTGATTACTGGCCAATCAGGTGAATTTCATGCACTGGGTCTCTAGTGTACTATAACAGAAAAACAGAAGATATGGTGTAAAATACATACCTATGTCAACACTCACACACTTTCTCTTTTTAGGAACCACGGCATTTGCAGTTTTTCAGCGAATTTGGCAATAGTGATATTTATGTGTCACTGGCAGGCAAAAAAAAGCATGGAGCACCAGCTAACTATGGATTCTGCTTTAAGGTACAGGCTTAATATTTTGATAGATGAATAAAGCAAGCCTCAGCCTTTTAGGTAAGCTTGGGTTTTTTGTTTGTTTGTTTGTTTTGTTCTTTTTTTAATTTCTTAAAAAAAGAGGAGAGAGAGAGGCAGCTTTCTCTTACATATATGGGAGAATTTTAGTGGCTTTTATTTCAACAGGTGTTACCTTCAAGATATGCATTAACGATAAACAATGTGCTGTGGCCTTCTAGCCTAACAAAGCGCGAGGGCCCCGAGACCTGAAAATGCTCTGTGCGGAAGAAGAGCAGAGTAGGATGTGCTGGGTGACGGCGGTGCGATTGCTTAAGGTAATCTCACTGCAGTTGGGCGTTTCTATTAAAAGCTGGGAGTTCCATCAGGGCTTGGGAATAGCTGTCGTTCAAAACGCAGAGATTCACTGTGAGTCTGTGTGGGTATGTGAGGAGGAAGAAGAGAAATCACCGCCCTCCAATGTGTGTATTTTATTTTTATCTAAAAGATAAACATTTGCAGAGTAGAGTAGAATAGAGTAACCTAATGTTGTATTTATCTTTTATGTGTGAAATAAGTATTCCATTTTTAGAAATGTTCTGATTTTAATTTTGTCTAAGAGTATTTCACAGAGAGCCGGGAACAGATGGAAACTTCTGTACATGACTTAGTGTATATTTTAAAAAAACATGGCCATCCATCCGATGTGAACTATGTTTTAAAATGGGCCCACCTAGATAGGTTTAGTGTAGTAGTTTCATGTTTCACTTAAGTGTTGTGTAAACTGCTTTCTATTTTAAGTACATCTCAGATTATTATGTAAAGATTACTATAGATATATTATTAAAATGTCTACCTTTGTGTAAAGTAGAAATTACTACTTCATAAGCATAATTTATGGGTAAGCGTTTTGAAAGGAGTAAGAATGTCCTAAAAGTAGGTAGGGAAGAGAGAAACAGAACCGATGTCTTCCAGAATGTATAAAAAACATTTATTTTTTCAAATTTATATGCTAGTACATTTAACACAACTTTGCCACAAAGATTGTGGCTTCAAACAATACAAATTTATTGTCTTACACCTCTGCCATGCAGAAGTCTTAATTGGCCTAAAAAGGAAGTGTCAGCAGGGCTGTATTCTCTGTCGGAGGGCATCTATTTCCTGTTCTTTCCAGCTTTTAGAGGCTACCCAGACACTGGGCTCATGGCCCCTTCCTCTCCCAAATCCAGCATCGTGCACCGAACTTTATTCACACCACCATGCCAATGGTCCTCTCTCTTCTGGTTCCCCTTCTACTTATCAGGATCCCTGGATACTCACCTTATTTCAAGGTCACCCGATTAGCACCCTGAATTTCATATGCGACCAAATTCTTATTTTCCATGTAGCCTAACAGTCATAAGTTCCAGAGATTCAGAGGTGGGTATTTATGGGGCCATTATTCTGCTACCACCTTGGTGTTCCCTATTTGCTTCAATTATGGTAAAGCTTTTCTGGGTGAGGCCCTTTAAAAAAATAATATACATATATATGATTAATTTCAGAAAGGAAAGGAGAGGGAGAGAGAGATGATGAGAGAGAATCATTGATTGGCTGCCTCCTGCAGGCCCCACACTGGGGATCGAGCCTGCAACCCGGGCATATGCCCTGACTGAGAATTGAACTGTGACCTCCTGCTTCATAGGTTGATGCTCAACCATTGAGCCACGCCGGCTGGGCCAGTGAGGCCCTTTATTCTGGGGCCAGTAAGAAATTGGCGAAGGGTTTCAAACAAGCAAGTGATATCATCTGTTTTACACTTGAAAATATTCAGAGCTAGGAGTCTGGGCTTGTCAGCACAGACACGCTCCTAGAGGACTTAGCTGGTTTCCCTGGCCGGTGGTCAGTAGGGTCCCTGTTGGATCCCTGTGGCTGGTGCCCCTGGGCTTGCCTGGTGTTAGCGGTACCTTTAGATGGTCTCCTTTGGGGGTCTATTGTGTTATTTCCAGAGTTTATCATGGCACAGTAAGTCCTCACTTAATATCCTTTACTGGTTCTTGGAAACTTCGACTTTAGAAACGATGTGTAACGAAACCCATTTTACCATAGTCTAATCGATAAAAATACGTAGGAGTTAAGTTCCTGTGGCATATTTCTGGTCACAAAAACATCACCAAATTTTCAAATAAAGACCCGGAATGTTTGTAACATTTAACCATTGAAATAAAAGTGAGCTATCCATACTGTTAAGAAAGGTGTATCAAAACAAGTGAGGTAACGATTTTCCAGTCTATTCAGGGTTGAGGGTGGCCGACCCCATCCTGGCAGCTCATGGCCCACGGTGGGACCAGCCATGGAGAAGACGCCCTTCCACCCCAGGCCCCACACCCACACTCGCTCAGGCTGGGACAGAGTGGCCACGCCGACTCACCTCAGTTGTACGTGGTTGGGCTGCGGGAGGAAAGCGGAGTCCCAGAGAAAACCCACACAGACACGGAGAGAACATGCAAACTCCACGTACACAGCGGCCCTGACTAGGAGTCCATCTTTTCCCCCTCTTTGACGTTATGATAAAATGACATTATTCAAGCACTTGCTGGACTTAGTGGGGAGGAGCAGGGAGAAACAGCTCTAGTATGTGAGATGAACTAGAAGTGCCCTCTTGTTTTCATTATATCCTACTTTTCTAGAGATAGGCTCCCCAAAGGATTTTATTTCTCTTTTGTTTTCATGCACACATAAAAAACTCCCCATGTATCATCAGAGGGAGATACTCCTGTTCTCTTTGGAGAAATTCCAGCTACGTACAAAATCATAGAAAATTCGAGACTTAGACAAGGGATTTGCTCATGTACGGTGCCCTAGTTACATCTCTCCTTCCCTTCCCCTCAAGTAAAACTATGCTGGCTTCACTCTAACATATTCTGTCTCCTTTCCTGCCCCTCTATAGGGGCAGGGAAGTGTTAAGGTGACCCCTGCCCTAATCCTCGCCCAGAGTTAAATGCCGACCAAAGGCCTCCAACAGCACTGAAGCAACTACCTAACACCGCAGGCACCTGGGACAATGTGTCTCTGAAGAAAACAGTCATATTAGCTGGCAGAGGGCTTTTCACCACAGATAAATAAAAGGCCAAGCAGCATGTACCTTATGAAAGCGTTGGTTGGAAGTTATTGTATATCCTCCAAAACAAACTTGATTAGGAATTAAGCTCCCCTGTCTTCTTTTTCAAATTATTGTAGATTTAGAGTTGACTTACAATAAAATTTATTAGGTCTCATTAATGTCCATCAAACCTTAAATTAGAAAAAATTATTTTTAGATTTTGAGAGGAAAAAAAAAAGGATAAAGAAGTCAACACAGATCATTTTAAATGAATATGGGAAAGCAAAATTTTGAAAACAGTGACTTTCTGCACTTCACTCTGGTTTTCTGTCTAATTACCAAATCTATCCACCTCACTGAAATTGCTTTTAAGGAAATAGTCTTTATAGTAGAGAAACAGCTCTGTTGGAATGTTTAAATGGTATTCACCCCAAGGGTAAGATTGGATTCGATGGTATCTCTTTCATCTTTTTTATGTAGGACCTACTTTAAAGTTCATCCTAGCTCCATGAAATGGAGAGCTGTAGAGTGTAAACTGCCCCCCTCCTCCAAAACAAAACTAGCCGTCTGTCTCAGGGGCTGCTTCCTTCCTTCTTTCTTTTAAAATAAACTGACCTATATCTAAGGGGGTTATCTTCCAGTTTCAGACAGGGACCCCTGCAAGATAAGACTGGTCATGGCAGTCGACATACTTAATGTTTCTCAAACTAATAATCCAGTATTATAGTTTAAACCCATTTCCCAGTTGCAGCCTGGCAGCCCAAATCAGGCTATTACCAAAAGTAAAGATGCTGCAGTTCTTACATACCGCCATTTACATTGTATTTTGTGACCCTTTGTCTGAAATCAGCCTGATTCCCCATCACGTTGGTTTTCCTGAATGTAAAGCCATCCATAAAAGCGTGTCCTAATAGTACCGTTGCCGGAGGATTGTGCAGTGCCAAAGGTCTTTGACACAGAGCCCCGCCATGGATTGATCAGACTATGTGATCCATGCCATGGATTGATCAGAGACATTGTCAGTGACTGATGGGTGAATTTTACCTGGTTTTGCTTAGGATATGTTTGCAGAATTTTTGTAGCATAAATCCTTCCCAAGTACGTGTTCTTATCAGTAAGTGACATAACCCTCTGAACAATTTTAGTGCTAGTGGCGCTAAAAATAATGTCTAGAAATGTCAGTTCCAGATCTCTATACTGATGAGCTACACTGAAGAGTGCCTCCAAATAAAAAACACTGTGTTTTTAAATGCATCCTTTTAAGGAACTGAATGCTCATCTTACAAACATTTTGTTATTAACTTACTGTTTTTAAGGAACACTTAAAGTTTTTAGTTTTTATTTTGATGGTGTATAACTAATGAAAGTATTAATTGTTATGACTTATCTGTGCAGTAAAATCAGTGGAATGTGTCTTTATTCATTTGTTCTGCAGTATGGCATGCAGCTGTACCAGAATTACATGCATCCGTGTCACGGTAGAAGTGGCTGCAGTTCTCAGAGTATATCACCCATGGTAAGCACCAAATCTTGAACCTATATTTTATTTTGTATTTATATGATGTTAATTTGCAGTTATGTGGCATTATAATAAATGCACGTAATAATGCATCTACATTCTTTCCTTTTGGTCAAGTAAAGCAACTCTTTGGCATCATCTTACCATAATGTTATATTGAATTGTTTATTCTTTGATTTTATATGATTGCAGCCTATGTGATAAAGTCGAAGCAGCAGAGTATATATTAAATATTCAATTAAAATAGCTATATGTTAAAGAAATGTTTAAATATTTGAAAGAATTACTTGAGTCCTTTTGTCTCATTATTTGAGGATTACCGTATTTTTCGGACCATAAGACGCTCCGGACCATAAGACACACCAGTTTTTAGAGAAGGGAAATGAAGAAAAAAAGATTCTGAAACAAATAGTGTCCTAAGATATTTTATGTGCATTAAAACCCAACATCACAGTCATAAACACATGTAATCAACCCTGTAAAGTAAACAGCAGCATTTAGAACCATTTTAGAGCCGGGCAAGCACACAGAGACCACACAGAGCCGGGCAAGTAAAAAAACGTTTTTTTTAAAGTATATGTGTAGGCTATATTTGGACCATAAGACGCAGGGACTTTTCCCCCCCACTTCTGGGGGGGGAAAAGTGCGTCTTATGGTCCGAAAAATACGGTAGATCTTAATAAGATGATATATAGAATATTTTCTGTGGGTTTGTAAATGTTTTCTTAATTATTGATTCTTAGTGTGGGCTTATTTATTTCTGGATGGTCTATTATAAATATTTGAAATTTTTAAAGCTGTACTATACATATGTGCACTATTTTGCATTCTGGCTCTCTAACAATAACATTTTTAAAGTTCCATGTCCTTAAAATACAAAAATATTTTAACAGAAAACCCCCAAATTGCCAGCTAAAATGTAGGCCATGCACTATTATATTAAGTCTACTGCTGCTTTTCAGATTTGTACTGAATACAATGTGGGTATTTATTTTCAGACACACACAAATACATCTTTGTTCTTCTTCAGGACCTATTTTAATTTTCTGTACATTAACGCAAGAACTTTATTTATTTTTATTATTGACACTATTGCAGATGTCCCCCACTTTCCCTCCCTTTGCCCATTCCACCCAGCCCTCTTCCCCTTCCTTCTCACCATTTCCACACTGTTGTCTATGTCCATAGACAATGCATATGATATGGTTTTTTTGGTTAATCTCATCATCTTCTTTCATCCTGTCCCCCTTATCTCCGGTCCCTCTGACCGCTGACAGTCCATTCCATGTATTCATGCCTCTGTTTCTTAAAGTTTATATTCAGCTGTTTTCATCTGTGCTTCTTAACATTGAATATATCAGGAATTCAGACATATGTGTCTGTGTTACAAATCAGCTAACGTGCTGCACTTCCACTTAGGTTAAAAATATGCTCCGCATGCCTGTGACCAAGGCAGGCACATTTCCCCACATGTAATGCAGCAGATGAAATGCTCGCTTCTAGGAATGAGGCATGAAATAATGTTGATTATGAAGCCAGATAGGCTAATAGGGAAAAAGAACTCCAATTCTGTAGTTATGTTGCTTTAACTATAAGTTATGGAAGAGTAACTTCTCACCTTTGTATCATATCACTTTTAAGCCTTAAAATAAGAAACAGGAATGCAATGAATTTCTATAAAAGCAACTGCATTAAGGTATTTTTATAATTTGTCAGCTTATCTTTATCTTTCAATCTATATGAATGAAAAGAATAATGAATTTTATTATCTTAATCCTTTTCTAAATCCTTCTACATTTCTTTGAGAGTGTAAAGTTATTAGGATGAGCGTGTTAACAGCAGCTTTGAAGGCAATTATTGTTTAGTGCCCTCTTAGTCATGGGGGAAAAATTGTCATAAAGAACTTTCTGGTCTCACCACTGTCGTCAGCATATAAGAACGTAATTATTTGTGCTTGTTTCTGTTGAAAGTGATCCTACTATTGGTCAATAGGTGTATGGCAAGTTGGTTGGTGTAGTTTTCCTTGTTCAACACCATAGGAAATGACACTCCTCAAGTAAATCTGATTGGAAATAGGATTGGAGGAGAAGAGGGTTAGGTGACTGTGTGGTGAGGAACTGTCTGTCCTGTACAGCAGTTGTCACAGTCAAAGAGCATTTGAGATTTGAGCTCCACTCTTCTTAATTTACATGAAGGAAATACTTGTTGGGGAAATAATTGTATTATCTATACAGAATCCCACTTTTCTAGATTATCAGTGACCTATGTAATATGTACCAGCGCCCCTCACCTGCCTCTGCTGGTTTTCATCCCAGCACTATTTTCAGAGAACATAGAAAAGTTAGTGTATTTTAGTTATGGTTTTGAAGGAACAGCAGTATTATCTTATCTTCAGAGATACATTTTGAGAAAGGAAATGAGAAAAACATGTCCGTATGCCATAATGAACATCTTAGCTACCTATAGCACTTAGTAGCCACCCCTATCAGCCTTTGAAACGAAAACCATCAGCAAGTATTTCAGGAAGCCAAATAGAGTTGGTCCTTTTTAGGGAAAACAAAGGATTCATTTAAAGGGTCATCTGTTAACATGGTCCTGGATAGAGTGAGGGGATGGGAAAAACAAGTCTACAGAAATTCTTATTCTTCCTCACTTTTGACCCTGAGCTGGGCATTCTGTGCCACCATTTCTGCCCTGTACCCCCTACTCTGTGATGCATAAAGGTACCCTAGATAGAGCCCGTCAGTCACTGCTTTTACCAGAAGCTGCCCATGTGACCGTAGGAGTCACTGGTGTCCTGCAGTATATGCAGGGGGTGGTTGAATAACCTCCAGAATCAATTTCATCTCTGATGTCTTGTGGCTCTGTATGAAGCAGATGAGAGGTAATGTCTGAGGAGATTCTGTGCCCTCTTGCTAAGGACTAAACTGCAGTTTTATCTAGATCTTTTCAATGGGGTAGCAACTAGTTGCCACCTCACTGAACTGCCTAAGAAGCAATTTATATCCACTTAGAAGGACTGGATCTGGTCTTTCTGTGCGGCCTGGATAATCCAGACTGTCCTAGGTCTTTTCTCTCTTTAAAAAAAGAAAAAAGAGGCATGCCCTTAAAATCATGGACCCTTTTTTTAGGGCTTGCCCTGTTTATCCCACAAGAAGAAAGAGCTGGAAATAGGGACAAATGCTTTGAAAAATACACAGATTCTGAATATCAACATTGCTTTTCTATGTAAAAGAAATTGAGCTGAAAATGACTTTTTGAGTTCAAGTATGATCTTGCTTCTCTTCCATGTCTTTGTCCACCAAAGTTAAACTATTAATTTTTCATCTACCACCTGCCATTCAGCAGAATATATTTGCTATATTCCCATGTTTCCTTCTAGTGTAATATAGCAAATGAAAAGACTTATTTCTATTGTAGATTCCCTACTTATGTCAAGTAATGATGGAGCATAAGATCTTGTTTTATATACTGGGCTATCATATTATAGGAAACAAAAATAAGAACACTGGGTACATTTACTGTTCTCTCCTAACAGTGTTTTTATGCCACTAGGACCTTGAGATTACAAAGCCCATCTTGGCAGGTGAAGTAGAGAGCTAATAAGGATGCAGCTACCATTTTGAGTGAGATTAGGTGGTCTGTGGTTTGGGCAGGTAGAGGCTTTTCATTAAAGTGGGCAAAGCAAAAGTGTATCCACCTGGTCCACAGCCGAGCACAGAAGATCACAGGTGAGAAGGGCAAAGTCAGGTGTGACTGAAAACAGATATTCCAGGGACAGCGTCTGTCTGGCAAGAGCATCTGTCAGTTACAAAGGCTCGGGTAACAAATAAAAGATTGCAGGCCGGGTCTCTAGAAATAAAGTTGAACCTTAGGAAGATTGTGGACTACCATAGCCTGGTCTGAAGAGGTCTACAGATGCTAAAAAGTGCAGTGTGGATGTGGGGATAAATGAGCCCCCTGATTTTTCTGTGTGTGGACAAGGTTTAAAACACACATGTGACTGTGGACGTGCTGGGAATGGCTGAGCCCAGCAGAAAGACATAAAATGGTCTTAAGCCAGGAGTCTCTTAATGTGCATTGGCTCCTCATTTACCATTAGACTTCCTTTTTTGTTCTGAAACTCTGTCAACTGGTGGGGAATAACTGGTAAACATCGCCCATGCTGGTTTTGAATGTTTTTCTTTTTCTTTTCTTTTCTTTTCTTTTCTTTTGGAAAGTTTTATTTTATTTTAGATTTTTAAAAATGAACTCAACCCATGCATAACCCATGGACACAGATAATAGGTGAAGGCCTGGGGCAAGGTGTGGGGGCAGGCTAGAAGAGGTCAATGGGAGAAACAGGAGGACATATGTAATATTTTCAACAATAAAGATTAAAAAAAAAAAAAAGAACAGAAAAGAAAAGAAAGAAAGGTTGTTTTTAAAAAGTGAATTTTGCCCTAGCTCATTTGGCTCAGTGGATAGAGCATTGGTCTGTGGACTGAAGGGTCAAAGGCACATGCTAGGACTGCAGACTAGATCCCCCAGTAGGGGGCGTGCAGGAAGCAGCAGATCAATGATTCTCTCTCATCAATGATATTTTTATCTTTTTCTCCCTCTTCCTTCCTCTCTGAAATAAAACGAACTTTGTAAAAAATATTTTAATTGATTTTTAGATAGAGAGGAAGGGAAAGGGGAATAGAAATATTCATCTACAAGGGGAAACATCAATCAGCTGCTTCCTGTACACCCCCTACCGGACATATGGCCTGATCAGGAATTGAACCATTAATCTTCTGTTGCATGGGAGGACACTCAACCAACTGAGCCATATGTCCAGGCTCTTTGCAGAGTTTTAATTCTTAAAAACTGAGTGACAGCTCTTGACTGGAGATTTTGACAATTGTCTTTTTTATTTTTTTAAAGATGCATGATGTGGGGTGGCATTCTTTTAAAAATATGGTTGTGAAGAAGTAGAGCCCTAAACAAAAAGTATAGGTTTTGGATATTTTATTTCACATTCAGAATAATATAAATACAAAAAGTAACTGATAAAAAATAATTAGCAAGATATTATTTGTTTAAAGATGTCTTCTTGTTATATCAGTTCTTCTTTTGTCATTGACTTATTTTTGCAGCCCTCCTTTTGCCATATTTATCCTCAGGAAATGAAACATTATTCATATGTTAAATCAAATAAAATTTAATAATGTAGAGTTATTTTATTAAATTTTATTTTCTACGTTAGATAAAAGTTGAGATGACAAACTTAGATATATATTTTATTTCTATTATAAAATGAGCACCATTGCCCATCCAGTGTGGCTCAGTGGTTGAGCACTGACCCATGAACCATGAGGCCACCTGTTCCATTCCTGATCAGGGCACATGCTCCCTTGTGAGCTCAATCCCCAGTAGGAGGCAGCTGAACAATGATTCTCAGCATTGATGTTTTTATCTATCTCTGCGTCTCCCTTTCTCATTCTGAGATCAATAAAAAATATTTTAAAAAATAAAATACAGTTATAAAAACTGAGCAGTTTTTTTGAAGAAATGATATGTCAGTTATAGTTTCATCATATCTTGAATCATAACATATAGCTGTTTCATAAACAGATAGATTTGATATTTAAATGATAATTGTCAAAGGACAATAGGGCGGTGACTTTGGAGGTAATGAATATTTTTAGCTACAGGAAGGGCTAAAAATTCCTTTCTAAATTGGCATTTTCCTGTTTTAGTAGAAAATATGAAGAGAGGGTTGTTTTAGGAGAAACTATGCTTTACCTTGAAAACTTTTAATTCCTTTACTCAGCACTCAATTCAATGACCTTACCTAATACTGTATAACTTATTTAACCAAACTATCTCATTGCATTGTTTTATCTTAAATATGTATTTTTAACATTTTCATTTCTTGCTAGCCACCTTTGAAACCACGTCCTAAAATGAAAACCTATTGCCAGCAAAGCACTGTAAGATGACTTCAAATACATTTTCCTGGTTAAAAAAAAAAAAAAAAATGTTTTCTTTTCCAGAGAAGTATATCAGAGAATTCCCTGGTAGCAATGGACTTCTCAGGCGAGAAAAGCAGAATTATAGACAATCCCACGGAAGCCCTTTTAGTTGCAGTTGAAGAAGGACTCGCATGGAGGGTACACATCGGTTCATGTTCTTTAAAAACATTGACGATTTCAGTTTGTTTCACCCAGAAAGGTGAAATGTGTTTTTCCCTTCTTTGTGCAGAAAAAAGCGTGCTTACGCCTGGGCAGCCACAGTAGCCCCAGGGCCTGTTCACAGCGCTCTGCCATAAGCATGGGTATGTCTGCACTTGCACGGGGGCTTCAGGGGAGGACATTCAGGCACAGCCACTGAGGGGTCCTGGTGGAAAGTTTATGTCATTAAACCGTGATCCTTTCATACAGCGCTTTTATTCCTTCCCTCTGTTTCACCAGCTATCCACCGGTCCCAACCGTGGTTTCACCACAGAATTTCTAGAGATGAAGCTCAGCGATTGATTATTCAGCAAGGTCTTGTGGATGGGTAAGTTTGATTTTGAATGGTCGTGATTAAAAAAAAAAAAAAGAAATATATATTATTTTAAAAAATATTTTTATTAATTTCAGAGAGGAAGGGAGAGGGAGGAGAGATGGAAACTTCAATGGTGAGAGAGAATCATTGATCCGCTGCCTCCTGCACGCACCCTACTGGGGATTGAAACTGCAACCTGAGCATTTGCCTTTGACTGGAATCAAACCCAGGACCTTTCAGTCTGCAGGCTGACACTCTATCCACTGAGCCAAACCAGCTAGGGCTATATATATATTTATTGATTTCAGAGAGAGAGGAAGGGAGAGGTAGAGAGAGATAGAAACATCGATGATAAGAGAATCATTGATCAGCTGCCTCCTGCACGCCCCTTACTGAAGACTGAATTCACAACCCAGCATGTACCATGCATGACCAGAAACTGAATGGGTGGCTTCCTGGCTCATGGCTCAATACTCAACCACTGAGCAACATGGCCGAGCAAATGGTCATGATTTTTTTTTCCTGCTATAGCCTGTAATTACTTATTCAACAACACAAAGATTTTTCCACTTCAGCTTATGGAAACGGAAGTGACTTTGTCCTATAAGGATGGTTGCCAAAGTATCCTAGCAATATCTATAGAAATCTGTTCCACTGTGTGTGCTTACTATTTGTGCATAAGTGAAGGTGATTTAACACTGTTGGTAAATAATGATCACTAATATTAAAGTTTGATGCAGGGTATGTTAAGTAAAAAGTTTCTTATACATTTAGATGGCCTTTTTTTTTTCTTTCTGTTTATATTGCAGTTTTTTTCCTCTAAATTTTAAAAGCTTAAAGTATTATAAACCTATCATAGTACTTCTTGACTGTTTCTCATGTTATCTTTTACTGAGGTATTTTGGGAGATATAGTAGAAATATAAAATGTATTATGAATGATTTATAATCTAAAGAATTTTCCTTTTCTCAAAGTATTTCAGATACTTCCTATAATACTGGCTAAATTCTCTTCCCAAATGCAGTCAAAATTAATGAGGTTGTATTGAGGTTTGGATGATAAATGAAACCAACATCAATTTAAACAAAGGGTGATGGGATCTTATATCTTTCGATGGTTAACACAAGATCTCAAGGTGACTTAATACTGACATTTGGATAAAAATGCATCTTCACATGGAAGATTATTAATAGCAAATCAGAATTCCACTAGACTCTAAATAAGAAAATATTTTAATATGCTTTCCTGCGTGGAGCACAGTCTTGTTAGATATAAATTTGGACAGTCAGCAGAATTACTATCTGATGAGATCAAGAAAAGAAATAAACCACAGAGTAGAGATAAAATGTTTTGGAGATTATAATTTCCCTTCTTTCTGAACCCAGTTTTTGTAAATTGAAAGGAATAATTGCATAAAGAATAATAGTATCTTTGTATTTTTAATTTAAAAATGTTTTATTTTAATTAACATTCTTTGAAAAGATGTGCTGCTGCCAGACAGTCCACTAGGTGGCAGTGGTGATTTATTGGGGAATAGGGAGGGACTCACAATGGAACTCCCTTTTGTCCCAGCTCCCAGTGATACAATGTCAGACTCTCACACAGCATAGATAACATGGGATGTCTCAAGTTTGGCTGCCTCTGCCTTATTACACTGAGATTAGTACTGGAGCCACCAGTGGGGACTGGTTACTCTGAGTGACAACAAGTAATACAAAGCTGGTTTTGCACTGTATTGCCAGTGAGTACGAATCCACGCCAGGTAGCACTTTTCTCTTAGGATATTACTCCATGTCTTGCTTTTCTAGCCTGACATTATAGAGGCTTTTCTGCTGCATTTTTCAAGGTTAGAGTACATGTTTTTGGGTGTTTCTTTATCTCAAAATATTATACTCAAACATTCAAAAAATGATTTTAGGATTGATTTTTTTTTTCTTTTTAGAATATATTCATTTCTCACTTTCTGTTGTACATGTAACAGTAGGAACCAGAAACAAAAGAAAAAAAGAAGTCCAGAGGAGGAGATTAAAAATTATTTTATTTTAAGTAATTTTCTCTTTCAGCACCTATTATGACCCACTACTTAAAATGAAAATATGCTAGTGCCCTATTCATTCTCTGTACAAAACAGTTACATGCAAATACCTAAATTTCCAGTGGAAAAAGGACACAGCACTAATTATTGATGCAGCGACAGCATTACATTGGTTATTGAGAGCTAACAATCTGACAAATGGGCTCTATAGTTATCCTTTTAAAATTAGCACTAATGACAGTTTGAGAATAGGAAGTAATGTTATACCATATTATTTACCAGGTTGGATAATGCCGTCATTGAATACACAGTGAAAGAAAACTCTGGCTGCATTTATGTATATATTTTTTAGATTCTGTATATGCTGTACTTATATGAAAACTATAAGTAAATGAAGAAACATACTGAAATTCTTTCTCTCTCTTTAGAGTTTTCTTGGTGCGGGATAGTCAGAGTAACCCTAGAACATTCGTACTGTCAATGTGTCATGCACAAAAAATAAAGCACTTTCAAATCCTACCAGTAAGTATTTGGTGGTTTCACATTCCTATGTTAGAGATGATTTTAATACATAAGCTTTCAGAAACTTTGGGTCCTTTTATTAAATATAATTTGGGAGCTTGTGCTTTGACTAGAGTTAAGGTTGGCATAAGTGGTTTTATGGGTCTGAATTAATATAAGAAATACAGGAATTGTAAAAATTAAATTTTCTTTTTCCCATGAAATATGATTTAGCAATATTGTATAGACTCTCTGCCACCTATTGTTAAAAGATCACTAAAGATTCTCTCCTAACTTCTGATGATTCTTTACAAACTATTGTTTTAAAGCCCTTCTCTCTGATCCCCACATGTTTTTTTGTTTATTTGTTTTGTACTTTTGTTTTTAATCAGTGTGGATGGATACGTAGGTGCTGCAGAACTGGAGATCATTTAAACTATTCTGAGCACATTTAAAAAGTTTTTGTAATTCTGTTTCTGAGTGGAACAACTTGCTTTGGAGTTTTTATTGCTGCTGCTGCTGTGTGTGTGTGTATGTGTGTGTATGTGTGTGTATATGTGTGTGTATGTGTGTGTCTGTGAGTATGTATACATCTGTGTGCATACATATGTGAGTGTGTGTATGTGTGTATGCACGTGATCTATATACTGGAATCAGTTAGTGTGCAATAGAGAATTATTCTACTTTCAGGAAAGTGTTACATGAGATTGCTAAATTACTATACTTCCTTTTGAATGGCTCTCTTTGGAATTATCCAAAGTCTATATGAAGTATCTTTCCTACTTCATTGATTATGTGAATGATGTCCCTGGCAAGTTATGAATTGCTTAATGCCAGAAGATCACACTGACTAAAGAAAAAAAAAATCACTGTCATCCCATTAACATAATGCTTGATTGCTTCAGAATCAATTTACTGATACAAATTGTGTGAATATTCATTTTTAATATACTAAGTGAGCCTGTTCGGTAGTCAACATTTAGAAATAGAAATTAATATCTGTAAATGGGATCATTAATAGACTGAATAGTGCAGATTTCTCACTGTATATTGATTCAGAATAGTCATGCTATTCCAATTTCAGAATATTGCACGAAGTACAGCCAAATTGCTTATTCTAGGATCAAATAATATTTCTTTCAAATGCAAGTGAAATTACAAAGAAAAAAGTAAGCATGCCATAACATTTTTTCACTGTCCTTTAGTTTTATAAACTTGTTAGTTTTGTTCTATATAAAGACACATTATGCAATGGAATGTGATTGTCCTGAGTTTTCTCCTGCAGGTGGAAGACGATGGTAAGATGTTCCACAGCTTGGATGATGGCCACACAAGGTTTACGGATCTAATCCAGCTGGTGGAGTTCTACCAGCTCAATAAAGGTGTTCTTCCGTGCAAGTTGAAGCATTATTGTGCTAGAGTTTCTATTTAGCCAAGCTAGAAGTGACTTGTTAAACTGGTGAAGAAAACAAGGAAAAAAAAATACAAAAGGAAAAAGAAAGACCATAAAAAGTGTGAAAGCATTGCTATGGTGAAAAGAATTTATTTCACCTCCAAGTTACAAAAAATAGTTTGTGCGTTGAAAATAAGCAAAGATTTGGATTGCTATTATAGTCATCATTTAAAATTCATTAGTTAAAATTAAACCTCTGAAAAAGAATGGTTTGATGTGTTCTTGTGTGATTTTACATTAATATATTATTTTCTTCAAAGATGCATATTTTAAACTTTTTTTTTTTGTCCTTAATATAACAACAATAGAACTTTCAACTGCAAAATATAAAAAGAAAAAATTGGGTTCAGAATGAATTACTTAAGGACTGAGTTTAAAATTACTCCTTTTTTTTTAATATCTTAAGATGTATGATTAAAAAGTCAAATTATCAATTAAAAGAAGCCATCCACAACCTGTCAATAAAACTAAAACTATTTTTAATTATATATTTTCTGAATTTCCTATAACCTTAAAATCAAATGCTATTTGAAGTATAAGTTTAAAATTATTTTGAAATATATTGATTTTTTTTTCAGGATGACTCTTACATTTTTAAATTATTAATCTATATCAATAATAGACAAATATAAAAATTGACCATATCCTCTGCAGCACCCACAGCCAATCAGGAGTGAGTATGCAAATAAACCTGACAGATGGTGGGCCTGTGGGCTGTGTGTATGTGCACAGGAGCCGAGGGGCTGGGGTCCTGGGGATGCCACTGGAGTGTCTGGTCCTGTCAGTCTGGCCTGGGGGTGGCTGGTGTTCCAAGTCCTTTTGGTTTCTGCAGCCCCTGGACTAGAAATGGAAACCAAGAGTGCAGGGAGCACCAGGAATTCTGGGAATCCGAGTTCTTGTGGCAGCCCCTGCCCTGGAAGTGGAAGCCCGAGCACGGGAGCACCACGAATGCTGGGAATCTTAGTTCTGGTGGCAGATGCGTTGTGGGATCTCCTAGACACTGGAGCAAAGTGAGCCTGGAGCGAGTTACTGTTGCGGGTGGGGGACGGAGGGAAAGCGAAGGTGAGAGACATACGTAAAGTCAGAGTGTCAAGGACAAATTAAAAGGAAGATATCCTGCAACCTCTAGGGAACCTCCACCAGTGGAGCAAAGGAAAACAAAACAAAACAAAAACAACTATTATTCTGTGAGCACCAAACCAAACTGCGTTGGGGTCTCAGACAATTTGCTCATACAATATGATTGCAAAGACAGACAGAAGCTCCCAGATTGGAGAGGGGTCCCCTGAGGGCTCCCAGATTGGAGAAGGTGCAGGTTGGGCTGAGAGATGCCTCCCCACATGTACGAGTGTTGTGCACTGGGTCCTTAGTTGTACTATAATATTTACACTGGCATTGCACCTATTAGTGACACATTACTCATTGCATTTAAAAAAAAATCATTTAGTAATTGGAATTATCTAGTCATGTGCCCCTTAATGGCAGTGATACATTTTGAGACATGTATCATTAGGCAACTTCATCTTTGTGCAAACATCATAGAATACTAGGGGCCCAGTGCATGAATTTGTGCGTCTTGAAGGGGACTGTGGGCTGTGAGGCTGCTGTAGGCACAAGGGTGGGTCTTGGCCCATCCTCCACACCCCCTCCCTCCACGACCCCCAGTCCCTTGTCTGCCAGCAGCCCCACTCCCACCGCTGCCGCTCCCATGTGCTGATGGCGCCAGCTGTGGGTGTGAGCAGAGCCTGTGCAGGACTGTGGCACGCTGGAGCAAAGAATTTCCAGTGACCACCAGAAGCTCATCCCGATGACAGCAACCAGTGCCTCACCTTGGTCTGGCACCCTCCGCTCACCTGCACCACCATCCCACCACGGCCACACCTGTCCCCTGGTGGTCAGCGCACATCATAGCAACTGGTTGTTGGGTTGTTCTGCCGTTCAGTCTATTTGCATATTAGCCTTTTATTATATAGGATGGGACCATTGTCATACATGTAGACCATCATTGACCATATACAGTGCATGACTGTGTGTTCATGAAAAAATGGTCAAAATATAGAGGGAATTTTATAATTTGCATATGCTTTCTTATAGCATATAATCTATGACAGTGTTACGTTGTCATCTTGATATTTCACATTTGTCTCCATGCTGAAAACTTTATGAAGTCTTCTAATTGACCCTTATAACAGTTAGGTGTGCTTTTTGAAAGTGGGATTTTTAAAAATACAGTATTTCAAAATTGCATGTTTTAGTTTTAAATAAAAGCTGTACATTTTTTATAACAACATCTGAAAACATCCACAAAATGCTAATTAAATTATTGCTGAAAATAATTATTGATTAAATTTTAAAATATTTTATTTATTTAGCTGATGCAAACCTATTTCTTAAAACATTGAAACTTAGAACATAAATTTGATACTATAAAATATAGATCTGGTGTCTATAAAGGCTTGGAAGACACATAGGACCTCAAAATGGAGGAGCTTTCAAAAGAGCTCTGAGTATTTCTAATTTATTTCCCATTTGTAAAAGTTATGTTTTGAATTGAAATGCGTTTTCTCCTTTTTCACCCAGTTCAAATTGACAATATCAGAAAATATAACATTTTAAATGCTAGACACTAAACTGTCCAATTTGTTCTTATCTTTATTATTTGTATCTCTAACTTTATTCATAATCTAAAGTTATTATGGAGCCCACATTTTGACTGTAATTGCTTACTTTGAACTTAAAACGTAAGTCAAGAAAAATTATTGAGGAAAGGTTATCCTTCCTTTTTCCTCTGATAAGGGTTTTGAATGTGTATGTGTATAAATCTAATATGAAATTAAATCTGAGATTGTCAGACACATTTATAGTTAGTATAATATTAAAATGGCTTTCCAGGAAAATGTGAATTACCTTTGAATTATTTTTTGTTTTAATTTAGCCATGTTCTGCTAGCTTGTTCCATTTTGGATAGAGATTAGGGTAAATCCGCTCTGTGTTCTTCTTTTTTCTTTTCATATGGTGGAGTTAGCACACTCTCCTCTCCTAGCAAGAAGCAAACACAGCAGACCATCTGGTCCACGATGTGTTTTTGACATTTTCTTATATAGAAAAATTAAGCAATTACTTTGAAACATTCAGGAAATCCAATCAACAAGATAAAAAAATAATTAAGAGTCTTTCATTCAGAATAATCACTTATTTTACATGTATAATGGTATGAGCCCTGACTGATTGGAATATATTAGGTGGAGAAGATCATTGTTTTAGCTCTGCTTTATGGTGCTCAGCATCAATTAATTAGATTCCGATGTGGTCTCTGCCTTCTGGTCACCAACAATGCCAGCTCTACCTGTGGCAGTTGTAATTATGGCAGTTATATCAGACTATGGATTATGGCTTTTCGGAAGAGGAAAGAATGTCATTGGTTATGGTTACAATTTGATGTTTCAAGCTGGTTCCACTATTTAGAAAACTCCTCTCTATTACTAGGCACTCTGAAGTTCTTTCATGCCTTGGAACTGTGCTTAAAGTAGTACCCTTGAGATACAGAGTTCTCATAACACTTATTGAACACCCAATCAAACTTTTATACCTGCCTTCTGTGGGATGTATCACCTCCCTGCAGCCCCAGCTCCCATAGTTTTACCTTCTGGGACATTTAGGCTTGCTGGTCACTGGGGCACTGCTTATAATGTCTCTGGTTGCAAATACTTCATGCCACAAAAAACCGATGTGAGTGAGGGAAAGGCCAGCCAGCCACTTGGCTGAGGACACCCAAAAGTCCATTACAGAGATCCCCCAACTTGAGAAAGGTGTCCAAGTGAATTTCTAACCAGTATAAATAATTGTTCCTGCACTTGCGATATCATGTGACTAGTCCTTTCCCATGCCCATTACTCTTGTAATTAAGAAAAAAAAAAATTACCACTTCCTAATTTAACTTCACATAACAGATAAGACATTAGAAACTGGAGTTAAGGTTATAGCTCTGACATGGACTTTGAATTCCAGCCCACTATGTAGTGGCTATGTAGCCTTGGTTAAATCAGTTTCTCCAATTCTATCATCATCATCCATTTTTGTAGCACACAGTCTAGAATATTAGTGTGTGTGTGTGTGTGTGTGTGTGTGTGTGTGTGTGTATGTATTTTGGTTTTTTGTGTGTGTATTTTGTTTTTACATTAGTGATTGTATATTTTGGAACCCCGCCACTGAGTGCCCTTTTCCACCACTGAGTGCCCTTTTCACCAAGAATACAGTGTGCAATGTATGTTGTGCCTCTGCTCTCATTTCTGTCTTTTCGATAAGACTGCTTTTATGGAAACAACCATAGTTACATTACAGTTGGGGGGGAAAGAAAGGGGAGGGAAGAGGGTGCCCATCTGTAGGACAACTGTGCCTACCTGTACCAGACCTACAGATCCCCCCGCTTTCTTCTCTCTGATTAAGACTATGAAGTGAGCTTTGGAGCTTTTACACTTTCCATCTCCCTCCCCTGAAATAACACTGATTGACAGACTAGGAAATAGGTGTGTGTTATGGCTGTTGAGTTGGCTCCCACTCCTGGTGACTCTAAATGAGTGATGTCCACAATGTTCAGCCCTGCTCAGCTCCTGTGGACTCCTGCCTATGGCTTCTTTTACGGAGTCAATCATTTTCATATCTGGTCTTCCGCTTTGCCTACTGCTTTCTATTTTCCCCAGCATTGTGGTCTTTTCCAAAGAACCCTGCCTTCTCATGATGTGCCCCGAATGTAGAAGACTTGCTTTAGAGACCCCCACCTGTACAACACAGGACATGGGCTAATGTGTGGCTGAGTGGAGAAAATTGAAAAGACTACGAGAGGTGATTGGTGCATGTCTGAGAAATTAATAAACTTCCACAGGATGAATGTGTCCCTGGCCATACCCTCACAGTGGTCATACCCTTCCCTGAGAAGTGCTTGTAATGTTAGTGATCAGATTAGGAGCAAAAAAATGGTGTTCTTACCTGTGTGCTTGTTAAGTTCACTTCAGCATGTAGGGAGTGCCTATTATTTGAAAGGCACTTTTAGGGCTGTGAGACTGAATAATAGAGCACAGATATACAAGTGTCTGTCCTAGAAGCCAGGGTGGGTAAGTATCTATAAATACAATGGAAGAGAGATATTGGTAACACTTGCTGAAAGATGGGAGGAATAAGGTGGGTCCCGAAAGCCCTGGGGGAGT